CTTCCCCAAGCCTGTAGTGCTGCATGGGGTTGTTGTGGCTGAAGTGCAGGACCCGGCACTTGGCCTTGTTGAAGCTCATACAGTTGGCCTGGGCCCATCGATCCAGCCTGTCCAGGTCCCTCTGCAGAGCCTTCCTACCCTCGAGCAGATCAGCACTCCCGCCCAACTTGGTGTCGTCTGCAAAGTTAAGTAAGAAGAAGCTCACAATGCTGAATGTTTTGAAGAGTCTGTAACAGTCAGCGAACTAGTGTCACCGGGAGCCATGTTGTTCCTTTACAATGCCCTGCGGGTAAAGTGAAAATGTTTCTGGAAATTGTACAGGTGAAGCCTGTGAGTGGAGAGCTTAGTCTTCGTTTTAGCTGATGGAGTGGGTGAACAGGAGAGTACACATGAGGATGTATAAAGATCTGTGTTTTGTATTCTGTCCCTACCTTGATAACTTTTGTACCAGAAGATCTCTATGAGGTGACAGAAGGTGCAAATATAAGGGCACAGTCTGGCCCTCAGAAGCAGCCCTTCAAAGCATTGCATGGGGTTGTAGGCACGCAACCTCTGTTGGTCTAATGATGCTTCAAACAAGGAGCCCTCTAGGGTGACTAAGAAATATGTGGGGGTTCACTGTGTCAGCTTTAACTGGGCGCAGAAAAAGTAAAATACAGCAAAATCCACTAAAAACAGTGGGTTACAGTTTTACTTATCAATTGGGTGTCTGAAGCTGCTCTCTAATCCCAGTCTAACACTGTATTTAGGTCAGTGAAGGAAGCGGCAGTCTCTCATCGTTCAGTTTCCCGGTTTCTGGGTCCAGTGCACCTGAGGTCTTTGAAAGTGGTCTGAAGAAGAATACCAGTAAGGTTTCTTTGGTGCTTTCAGTATTTTATATATGTGAACTGGTAGCTGAGATCTTTCACTTTCTCTAAAATGTTGTCATTATGTGCTGTAGGCCTGAAAGTGATTCCTTAGTCATTAAGATGTTGCAGGGGTGGTTATTGTACAGTACATCATATATATATCTTCGAACAGCTTTTTATAAAAGAAACTAGCAGCTTGTTATACAAGCAGTTTAGATGTTGAGAATCTAAGTTGAGCCATAATTTTCTATTTAATCTGAATACGTCTTCAGTCAAGCTGTCTCATTCATAGAAACCTGGATACTGTATAGTTAAATTCAAATAGATATGGAATAGCTGTCTTGTGCTCAAATTTAGAACAAAGTTACTTCTGACCAAAGTATTGCTAGCAGATAATAGTTTTTTCTATTCTATTTGAGCATGCTTAGCAGTCTTATTCCAAAAGTTATTTAAATGGAGAGAATGAATGACTTTCTCACCCATTCTAGAAGTATATCAATCTTACTAATTTAATGACAGCCACTTTCAAAATCTGCTTAAAACGTATGTCTATAATAAAGCAGCAGAAAGTTAGAATCATCATAGTGGTTTGGATAACTTTAACGGAAAATTTTCCTAAAAATGCTCGTTTAACTTTTTTTTAATTCATTTGACAGCAGCTTCTGAAATACAGGGACTAAGAACAGTTGAAATAAAAAAGGTAAGTTACAGATCAGGAACAGGTGTGTTTACAGAAAGGAAGAAGTCTGACCCTGTTAATCATTTTGAGAGAGGAATTGATGTGGCAATAGCTAATTAATTTGCCTGTCTCTTCAGGTCAAGACTGCATGATCTCCACTGCCTATATTTTTATGTAATATCAGTGCAATTTATGCTATCGCATTTTGTGACCCGTTTTGAAAGCAAAAGGAGGAAGGATTAGTAAGAGATAATGGGACCTGGTTTTACTGTTATCAGTCTGAGTTAAATCCAGACTCTGTTCTAGTGAAGTCAAGGGAACTGTACTAAAGTTGCAAGCCTATTGTTTTGTATTTCATACTTTTCTTCACACATATTTTTAATGGGTACGCTCTTAAATGACAGCTGCCAGATTTTCAACTGTGGAATTCAGTCGACTTCATTATTTACAGGAGCATGAGATCTGAGTCAGAGACTGCTGCTGATTGTCCAAAATATTGATGTTTGATTTAGCCTGGCATCTAGTTCACTTGATTACATGGATCGTATTTAGCCATTCCCTTTTTACATTAGAATCTGCAAATACCAGTTTACAACAGCAGTTTTTGCAGTTAGGTAGTAGGGTGTTGTACAGTAGTGAACAGCTAGTTTTGTTCTTCAACAACAGGACACTAGGGGGAGCATAAAGATTAATTCTGGTCTTTGGGAGGTTCATAATAGGAGATTGCTTGTCCTTAATACTGTCTGTATCAGTCCCATCTGTCCAGTTTTCCTTGTCCAGACTTTCTGCGCTGGCATTAAGGGTCTGGCGCTGAATTCTGTAAGTATTTAGTTTGGTTAAGATAAAACATACAACTAAGTCAGCAAATTGTCACCTACTACTGATAGGAAGAAATATATATTGTGCTCTCTGTTCTTTCTTGAAGTGATACAAAGTGTATTAGCTTAAAAAATGTCTTGAGACATAGGAATTCTGATTTTCGTAAGATAGGGCCTTTAGTAATTTTTTGAGATAAGCCTACACTTCTCTGTATGTGTTTTTCTTTCCAGAAAAATCTAATCTTTTTTCATGACAATAACAGGGCCCTGCAGATTCACTAGGAGTGAGCATTGCTGGAGGTGTAGGAAGTCCTCTTGGAGATGTTCCTATATTTATTGCCATGATGCATCCAAATGGAGTTGCAGCTCAGACTCAGAAACTCAGAGTAAGTTAATTGTTAAGAAGGTTGCGAAGACTGCACGGGTAATGCACAGTAATTACTCTAGGCAGGCAATAAATTAGCAGTTTAATGATACAGTCATAAGTGCTTTTGGCTGTGACAAGAATTTTTGCTGTTTGGATTGTCGAAACGTTACCTCAGATTGGTAGCATGGTAAAAGGTAATTGCTGAAAGATACTGACTTTGGGAAGGAAGTCCTAAAGCAACCTTGGCTCACAGAAGTAGTCAGCTTGTGAAAACTAAAAGTAGAGAAAGTGGTTCAGAATGATGGATTCTGTAAATGAGCTCCACTGACGAGCGTGGTGGACATTGCTGCAACTGTATGTATGCAGTCTGTTTTATCTCTCATGTTTTCTATGCTTATCTGTCTTAGGATAGAGACAGTACTTTTTAGGTTCTGAGTTAAAGTGGGAGGTCTTATCTGATACAGCACTTACATGCATACTGTATCAGTACTGTATTCAACCAACCAGAGGGAAAATGGACAGTGTTATTTCAGGATGAATTCAAACATATAATCTCTGATGATAATTTACTACTTGAGTCTGTCTGTCTTCAGGTGACTTGCAAAATGCACCTCTTTTTTTACATGCTGTGTATTTCTGGAGTATTAGGATCAAGTCTCTAAAGCATCATTACTTTTTTACACTGAATACACTAAACCAGTGTAGTTTGCTAATTGTGATGTTGAATTTTCTACCTTTTTATTGGGTCATTATGTAGTTCAAAGGTGATTTGCCTTTGAGAGAAAATGTACTGTGAACAATTGCTAATTTCTTTCTTCCTGCCCTATATCACTGATAAAGTCTGGCTAAAAGCAAATACACAGATCTGCTATTGTTGAAATAAAGTGATAAATAAGTCTAGGTAACTAAACTTACTGTTAATTAGATTTTCTACATTTTCTTCTGCAGGTTGGGGACAGGATTGTTAGCATCTGTGGAACATCTACTGAGGGCATGACTCACTCCCAAGCTGTTAGTCTGTTAAAAAATGCTTCAGGCACTATTGAGTTGCAGGTAAAAAATCTTCAGTGACATTTAAAATATTTTCTGAATACTATTTTGCCAGCTGCTACAATGAATTATTTTAGTGTCAGCATTCTCATCTTAATGGTTTACGAACTCTGTTCCTAGGTTGTAGCTGGAGGAGAAGTAAGTGTCATAACTGGTCAGCAGCAGGATCCACCTACGTCCAATCTTTCATTTGCGGGACTAACTTCAACCAGCATTTTTCAGGATGATTTAGGGTCAGTAACTATAGAATATACAACTTCTGTAGCCTGTTATTTTAGGTGGAACTCAACCTAAAAGACTTACATATTCTAGCAAATAATGCATGAATTGTTTGACTTAATCATGACTTAAACATTTGGTATACATGAGACCTGTAGGCTATAGGTCCCCTTCTTCATTTTTCATGGTGTGATTTGCTGTGCTGCTTTATTTTGCCCCTCCGTAGAATTATGGTGTGATTTGATTTCTTCTCTGTAAATACAGCCTCCTTTGTTTCACTGAGCCTTGGTGGCTGAGATTAATTGATATGCCCAAAATGTTTTTTCTCAGACTTAAATAGCAAGGCCCTTTCCACAGTGGTACCTGTGTTTCCATAATGTGATTTCTAGCACCGGGCAATCAGGAGCATCGAACTTTTCTGGTATACAAGGTATACTGCTTCTGGTATACTGCAAGGTACAGCTATGTAAACAGGTTTCGCCTCAAACTCTGACATAAATCTGAGGCATTTTTCTTCTAGGAACAGGGAAAGAGAGAATGCGGTTCTTTAGCCACACAGATCTACTTCAAAAGACAGAACTTCAACATTTCTTATAGTCAAAGTATATGTGGGGAGATATACCTATAAATGGTCTGTATAAACGCATACATACCAATACACAGTCATATATTAGAGGCGGAGAGAAGCAATTAAACCTTACAACATAAACTGTTGGGGCTAATCTTAGATGTTTTTTAGGAGGTGTAATGGGTTACAGGACTTTTTAAAGTAGATGTTTGTTATGGAGGTTTGAGGTACTGGTATTGCATCTCTACTTCGCTAGTAAGCACTGTTAGTGGGACGTTGCAGCCATAACTATGCTCTGAGCTGGGTGCAAGAGGTGTTTGAAAGAGCTACCTTTAAGAAATAATGAGGGCATTAGGCAGTTATAGTGTTTTGAGTATGTTTAGTATGAACTAAAATAGCCAGTTCGTTATAATAAAAGCATTTGTCGTTATAGTGGAAAGAGCAATGTATTGTTTAGTCTGAAAGGAAAAATGTTTTTTGTTGCATATTCGACATGTTAAATTGTAAGTTTAGACAATATCGCAATACTCTTTTTCCTTTTCTTAGACCTCCTCAGTACAAGACCATTACTCTGGATAGAGGACCAGACGGCCTAGGCTTTAGTATTGTGGGTGGTTATGGTAGTCCCCATGGAGACTTACCCATTTATGTGAAGACGGTGTTTGCAAAGGTAATTTGTAAATTTGTTCAGTCAATCCATATATTAGCTCGTTCACAGCAGCTACTATCTTAAATCATGGCCTGAGTTTGAAGCCAAAGGATTGTTACAGTTTCTCACAGCTTTTCTGCCTGAGTGCAAGTGCTGGTCAAAATGTGCTTTTATCATTTAAAGGCTATAGTCTTAGGAAGATTCCGAATTTCCAAATGCATGTGACTCTGCACATGGCAGAGTCTTACTCAACTCTCAAAACTGGAATTGTGCACATATTTATAAAAGCAACCCCCTTGCCTTATGTTTAGAGTGTATTTTCTTCAGGTAGTAGAAAGGACTGTTTTATTTATTTTGACTGAGATTCTGAAAGGTAGACCAAGATAAAATAATTGAACTCAGTCTGGACCTTTGGAGAAGTTCAGGTACTGAGCTGGATTTGATAGTTTGGACTTCCTTCCCTAGGGAACAACCCTGAGTCAGAAAAAAATGGAATCAAGAATCCCAAACTTCTGTGGTAAATCAAAGTACAGAGCTGGGTTTTGATTATTGAATTTCTTCTACCAGTTGGTGAAAACTTCTCCAGGTCTTGAAAATCTTACTTCTATGATAGTAGAGTTTAAATGTTATACTAGCTGGACAAACAGGGATGAAGGAATATAAAAATCCTGTAGATCTGATTTCAAGATGTTGTGAATCTTAAGGCAGGGCATGTACTAGCAGGCTGTAGTACAATTGACTGTAGTTGCATCATTGAAAATCAAAAAAGGTTTAAGGGGTTTTGTGCACTGAACCCATCTTGTTCAGACCATAAGGACAGTGTGGCAGGGAGAAAAAGAAATGCATGAGTCTGCAGATACATGTTGTCTTGTTTCAGGGTGCAGCAGCAGAAGATGGACGCCTGAAGAGAGGGGATCAAATCATTGCTGTGAATGGGCAGAGTTTAGAAGGGGTGACCCATGAGGAAGCGGTTGCAATTCTGAAAAGGACAAAAGGAACAGTCACTTTGACTGTTTTGTCGTGAACTGGCTGCCCAAAGGGGTAGGGTCAATAAGACTATATTATTTACATTCAGCATAGCAAAGAGAATGGAAATGTTTATATAGCCTTCTTGCTCTTCCAGCTTCACAGGACTGTGTTACAACACTGAAGAAAAATAACATTTAACCATATTTTTGTATACAATAGAAGTATTTCTCTCACTGTCAAACCACTGGGATGGAGTTATGTCAACTATGGAAAGACATGGATATTTTTCCTACTATTATTATAATGAATGCTTGTAAGCCACAAAAAAAAAAAAAAAAGAATGTTTGCATTAATAACCACACAACAAAACTGGAATGTTTTGCTAAGAGGCTTTGGATATTTGAAATATGTTGGAAAAATGATAAAGTCACCAAGTCAACAAGGGGGTGGCATGGGCAGCAGTAGTCAGAAACAGAAATAAGGTTATTGAAGAAAGAAAGTATTAACAAAATATGGAATTTTGGGAAAAGAAGGAAAAGTATGTAATCTGGAGGCAGAGGATTAATGGACTTAGATGGTTATTTGTATTATTTCACAATGCCCAGTAGAAGGAGCTGGGAGGGTGACTTGGGTGGGTTTTTTTGCTTTGCTGTTTGTGTGTTTAAATTTCCTAAGTCATGGTGTATCCAAAAAAAAGAAAAATGTGTTTTAATTTGGCTTAGGTCTGAGGGTTCGCGTTTTTGGGTTTTTTTGAGGCAGGGGTGTGTGTGTGTTTGTTTTGAAAGGAGAGGACTTGTGCTCAGGGCTGAAAAATCCTTTTGCTAGTGGAAACTACTGGTGAATGAGAGTGCCCAACAACTGCAGTATTAGAAGAACTAGACTTTTCTTTTATAATAGTAGTGTTTTCTAGCCTATATGGGTGTGTGTGAAAGCAACCTTCCCAGTATGAAATGTGTGTAAGCAAAGGTTGTCTTCTTCCGACAACATGCAAGATTAACTACAGGTTCAGCGCAGACGTTTTCTGCGAGCTGCTTGAATCAGAGCTGCGAACAAACCGCTCAGGGCAGGTTTACTTAGCTGCAGGCAGAGACTTGTGGATATTGGTTAAGGCAAGGTGGAAGAAGTTGATGTTAATGGTGTTGCTGTTGTTATCCATAGCAGCAAAGGTAGAGCCCTCCTTGGACTGAGGAGGCCTAAAACCAGGAGTTGAGTGTGGGTAAAAGGCTGAAAACCTTTCCCAGTGGAGGTGAGTAGTAAGACAGCAGTGAAGGTCTTTCTGTATCAGCATTAAGCAGAAGAGATTTGAGGGCCACAAATACTGGGTTATTAATTTTAGAGGAACAAATACAAGACAGTGTCTAGAAAGTACGATGCAATGATGAAGCTGTTCTTTGGGCAGCAGTGTGGTCAATAAATTTATCATCCTCAGTTTCCTAAGTTGGGATCCTCACTAAAACTTTATTCAACAACCGCGCTCACTGAAACCCTTAGCTGATTGTAGCTTGCCTTTGCCTCTGCTCCTCCAAACTGGCTTTTAGGAATCTGGCGGATAAAGCACACTTTGCCCATAATTTACCTTCCTGCAGAAAAATTTTGCCAAGTCTTTTGAGGGAGAAAGATGCCTAGCTAATTAGCATGCTAATTAGCAGCAAGACCCTTTGTGTTAATTAGCAAAAAAAAATTGTAGCATGAAGGCCACCATGTCAGTTGTCATTTAAGAGAAATCTGAACTGAAAATGCAGGCAATAGTCAGGCCATTATTAGGGGAAGATACAAAAGACTAGCATTTGTTTTAGTGGGACACAAAAATAGTATTAGGAATGTCTGTGAAATAGTATTAACAAATTGATAGCTAGGTCTAAGTGAATTAACTAGAAAAACCCACCCTTTTTGTCTCTAACTGTTCTAGAAGTTACACTGTGATAGACTAAGATAAAAGAAAACAGATGGTATCGTTACTGGATGCTGTTGTTATTGAATTGCTCTTCTATACTTACTCCTTGGCTAGAGTGAGAAATGCCTACATTAGAGTATGTAAAGTCACTTTAAATAGTATCTATATTTGTAACAGAAGTCGTGTACAGATATTTTGTTACTGCTGTTGTGTCTAAATAGAGGATTTAAGTTGAACAAATTCCAAACTGTCATGATGAAGAAATAAAGTTGCAGGTGTGTTTCTGGTTGCTTTACAATGGCATGCTTGCATTGTTCATTCTGTTGTGAAAGATTAATTAAAAAAAAATTAAATTAATAGCAAAAAAAATGGCATTACTCTTTATGTGAACCTTAAAGCATCTGCTAAAAATTGCTTTATTTGGATTTTAAGATTTTATCTTCACTTGCAAACTCTTAGGAAAACCATGAGACCAGATACCAAAACTATCTAGGAATTAATATGAAGCTGCCTTGCTTTTTTGAAACAGACAGCATTAATCATTGTTCAGTTTAAAAAGCATTCCTTCAGGCATGGGACTTGCCATGAGGGATCAAAACAGTCAACCATGGAGCCTGGGACTTTGCTTTTAGCTGTGACCCACTCTGCTGCTTCAGAGCACAGGATCCCCCAAGCCCCATGCTGGGAAAGCTGTTGCATGACCACTGCTTAGTGGCTGCCATGCACTGGACCATGAGGTGTAATAAACTTTGCAGGCTTAGGATGTTTGGTTTTCTTTATCGTTTGGTATGCAACACAACTTCCATATTGCAGGGGTTAGTCCTGACTTGGGCGGAGACGTTACACAACGTAGTCACTCACAGGTGTGAGATGGGATGGACTGATCCAGGTGGTGGCACGGATGGGAATAGGCGGGTTCGACAAGCTAGCCAAAACCCCCACCCCAGATGGCCTCCCCGCAGGGAGCCTGCACCTTCCCGAGACAGACCAGATTGAGCTCACGATCTGGGAAGGAATGACTTTTGGCAAAAAGCGTTAGCACTGGGAGTACCGCAGACGATGCTGCACGGGCAACCCACCGATGCATGGGCAACCTACCGACCATATCCAGAAACTGGTGGAATTGCTAGAGGGAAAAACCAAAGATCAAGGGAAAACACTGGCAACCACCCTCCCTCACAGTAGCACAGACACAATTAACCCTTTTGCATCCCTGCGAGGGGAACTGAACGAGTTAAAAAACTAGAAGCCGCGGTTTGGGGTTCAGGCTGCCCACTCCACATTGGTGAATTCCTGCCAATGCTCTGCTGACAAGAAACCTTATATTCATACCCCTGTGCGTCCAAAGCGAGTAAGTTTAGAGTTCTTAATTGATACAGGGGCCCAAAGTAGTGTTCTAAATAAGCAACAAGCCAATGAGTTAGGAATTAAACCATTGAGAAAGACTATAAACATAGTAGGGGTGATGGGTGCAGCAGGCAAATGTCCCATAGCTCAGACTCAACTTTGGCTACCTGGAGAAAAGCGGATGATGGCTGTGGAGGTGGCTCTAAGCTGGATTTGATGTATTAGCAGGCAAGCGATGGTGTTTACCTAATGAAGGTGAGTTTTGGAGGTAGAGGAGCAGAGGCTGTCCATGTTAGGACCCTGCAGCTTGCTCCC